TTAAAGTTCATCTCTTATAGTACAACTAGAATACAATGTAGATTAAAATTCATCTTTTATAGTACAACTAGAATACGTTGTGTAGCCAAAATACAGACAGACAGACGGAGACCTAAGGACAACAATGTTCCATTAAAACCACATTACAGCATAAAGTCTTAACTTCTTTGTTATCAGGGCTTTAGTCCAAAGACATTGAACAATTTCTCATGTTTATGAGGACGATAAAAATGCATCAAAATCAATATCTCTGATATAATCATTGACAAATCCCAGACTGTGAAAAAGTAGAAATTAAACCAACGAGCATTTAGTCCACTAAAATAACTCATTTCATAAAAACCAAGAGTGACATTATGTAAACAAACTTTAAAGGATTAAATTCTGAAAATGTATTAATATTTGCTCGTTATGATCAGGACTGATAAAACAATATCTTATATTTTTATACATTTTTGTCCTCTAAGGACATCAGACAAACTTTTTTAAAGTGAATCAGAAGGTCTAAAATCTGAATATTTAGTGCAAGAATAAAACAAAATCTGCACAATGAAAAACATGAAAACAATAACTTTCACCGATAAGATGTTTTCAGTGCTCTGAATAAAGTGTAAAACTTTTAATAAATAAAATGTTAATACCACTTTTATTTCCATCCAGTGAGATGATTTTCTGGTATAATTTCTTCTCATTCATTCTAACCACAGAACATAACACAAACATAAACCCCTTTGTCTCTAAATGAATCTTTCTAATCAGATGAAGAGCATTCTAATTATTATTCATCCTCTAATAGGAACATGCTGTTAGATTATTCAGTCCTATTACAGAATAGTATATACCAGTGGCGGGCTGTGCATTTTATACCTAAGCCTTCAATGCTGTCCTGCAGCTGAAATACCACATTATAACCACATGATGGCGCCACAGCTATTATTCATTTTTAAGGCTGTAACTATGTACGTCTTCGTATTAAACCGTTCGGTACGAGGCTTACAATACGTTTGAATAATGCTCGAGCATTTGGAAAATGCAGAAGCTTATATTCAGGAACACAATGTTTTCTGCGCTCATGGAGGACAGTGGTTCTCAGCTGGTCTGGCTGTGGGATCCACCATCATTCCTTAATGACAAGTCACGGTCCAAAGAGATCGTCTTATGATTTTACTTTCACAACTCGAACATTGAACGTACTGCTCTGCAATGTCTTTCCTCATCTCAGCCCCCTGTGTCATGGTGTGTGGTACATCTCACTCAGTCAGAATGCCCATATTTGATTGGCTGAGCTTCATCAGTGATGTGATTCACTACCCGACAGCCTCTGCTGTTAAGTTTCGTTTCACGATAGTCACGTGCTCGCCCACTGACCAATCACAGCACACTCTGCACCTCACTGCAGAGCTGCACATGGACACTGAGCTGCACGTAATGCTGACGTCATTATAGGCCGGCACGCAGGCTCTGACACGTCAAAGAATACGCCCAATATGTCAAAGTAAAGATCTGATTGGTTGAACACTATGACAATCAACAATATCGTCCCCATTCACTTAAACTGCACATGGATGCACTTGTGAGTCTGCAGGCCTCTGCCTCTGTTCTTACCTAGAGACACAGAGGTGAGATCTGATTGGATAAAAGCTCTACTTAAAACAAGCTGCACTGGAAGCAGAGCAACTGAGGAAGACAGTAGCTGTGCAATGAGAACATAAGATAATGGGGAAAATATTTTTATAAATTATGTAGTGTATTTAAGAAAAATTATTAAATTATAAAATAGATATAACTTTGTGATTCTGTTTAGGCCAGCAGAGAAGGCCTTGCAGGCCCTGACGGCTCACCACTGATATAACGTGACTCTCACCTCTTGAACGAGCGCCCTGATGTTGTTCACATACAGCGTCACATAGTCTCTCAGGTACGCAGCTCTCTGAGGAGCTGGGATGTTGAACCAGTCTGTCGCCAGAGCAGCTTCGTTTTCGTTGTTCCCGCTCCAGGTGATGATGGAGGGATGAGACTTGAGACGCTGAACCTGGAGAGTGAAAACAAACACGAGAACATCGAATGTCTCGACAGGATTTAATGCTTAAAACTACCTTCAAATGGTTTTATGGCATTTTAAAAGGTGTTTTGGTTGATTTGTCGTAATCTTTACATGCGGTTGTATAAAGTCTTCAGATATGAATATCTATATGTAATATATAGATATTCATATCTTTTGAAATGAAATAAAGATACAGCACTCACCTGTTGGACGACTTCTTCTCTGACTGTCTGTATGAAGTCGTCCTCAGTGGGATACAGAGCGCAGGCGAACATGAAGTCCTGCCAAACCTAGAGACACAGAACTGAACTCTGAGCGTCCGTTTGTCCGACAATATGTTCACAATGTCACAGAAACATCTCATCTGTTCAGAAACACTTCATCTCTTCAGTACCGGTTTGTAACAGTGATGACTGAAGGTGAACATTATTTCTGATTTATGCATCTTTGTATCTGAATCTTTATAGAACACCTGGTTTATAGGTCTGCTGTGGTACAGAGCGTTGAACTGAGTCAGTGCTAACATTTAGTGTTCTGGAAGAAACGCAAGCACTCATTAGTGCAAAAGTCTATAAATCAATTGAACCAATCAGCTGTGCATTGGGAGGAAACATAATCTATCAGTAGCGACCCCTGACCCCTGTGACCAACCATACAGCGATGAGGCCGTCTGTAGTTATAGATATCTCTGCTTATGTGCTGGTACACAAAGTGATATTGATCTCACGGTAGTTACCATGATCCCCATCTCATCACACAAGCTGTAGAAGAGGTCCTGCTCGTACACTCCTCCTCCCCAGACCCTGAGCGCGTTCATGCTCACATCCACGGCTGACTGCAACAGGTTCCTTAAGCTGCGGCACAAACACGGTTAATGTCTTCACAGCAGCTCAAACAAGTCCTGTCCTGTGACTCATAGACACAGAGGAGACCAACGCCTTCTCTCACAATATCCTCAGAACTATTGATCGATATTCACCTCACTCAGAAGAATCAAGAAACAAGGTGGAGAGAGAGCGTCTCTCCATACTCAACTCACACAGCAGGAGTCACCTGGTCCTGGAAGGAGTGGGCCGGGATCCAGTTAGAGCCTTTGAGGAAAATTGGTTTCCCATTGATGCGGAAATAAAAGCTCAAGCCGGGAGAGCCGACAACCGGCTCCTGGACAAGTTCTACCGAGCGGAAATACACCTGCAGGAGAAACGCACTCAGTGCTGTGATGTTAGCGTTTCATCTCTGTGGCACATGTGGAGCAATAACAAGAAGAAGAACCTCAGCACCCAGGAATCTCACAACATGTCAGTAAACTGCAAACACAACATTTACACTGAATTGGACTCAGAAGTTTCCTAAACGTTGTCCTAAAGACAAACCAATCAATCCGTGTTCATAGTAGATACAGCGGATGGATGATGTGGCAGGATGATTATTCATGTTGCTGTGTTATGGTCTCTTTATAGATATGGTGTATGTGTGTGTATTATGATACAGGCTGTATTACAGACACATATACTGTCAACAAGAGTCTGTCTGCACTGATGTTTTTAACTTTTTGTGTGTCTAGAGCTGCAACGATTAGTCGATCAACAGGAAAATAATAATTGCCGACATAGTCGATTAATCGTGAAAGTGATTTAAAGCGAAAAACGGCAGTAATATCATATTGAACTGAATATCTCTGTTTTATATCATATTGAACTGA